TACAGCAAAATAATTTATTCACATTCGATATTTATAATTTTTTTTTAAAAAAATTATTCATATTTGATATTTAGTCTATCTACTTTCTTTCAGGAGATATTGATAAAATATGTTTACATTATCGTTCTCAAATCCTACTAAATAAAACTTTACTCAATATTTATCGTACACACGATGTTTATATCAAATTTCACATTGTGTCATGTTTGAGTGGTGCAAACAAAAAATTAATAGTTGAATAGAGAATTATAAATAAATAAATAAATAAATGAAAAAGGTGGTTATATTACAGAGTTTCTAATCGTGCAAAAATATTTTCATATTAATTTTTTTTTAAAAAAAAAACTATACAAAATTCCACTATTTTTATCATAATTTACATAAAAAGTGGAGGTTAATTAAAATATATACTCCTTAATTGTGATTCAACAAGAAAAGTTTATCCACCCTATCTAAAAGTACTGAATATTTATATCAATCGTTACATTGTGCATGTGGCTTTTTTTAGTACATAGAACAAATTTATAATAAATTAATTTAATATATTAGGTGACATATTAGTAAAAAATACTTATAAGTAGGTATGTGTTAGGGAATGATAATAACATTGGCCACGTTTAGAGCATAACCACCACCAACAACCAAAATAGATATTTTTGTATATATTCTCTGTGTTGTCACGTACGAGTGATTCGATTAAATTTAAATTTTTATCGCTACATATTTATATAGAAGGTAAGATAGTTTACAACCAAGACGATTTCATATTTATCTTAATTTTCAGTTGAGGATTAAAAATTTCATATCGAAAACGATGTCATATTATTTGTTACATTCATACTAAGTTATATATTTTCTATACATGTATAAGAAAATGTTGTTGATCAATGTCAATTTCATCTAACCTAACTAATGTTTGGTTAAATAATAAAAATATAATTTGGCTTTGAAATCCTTTCTTGGTTGGTGAAGTTCTATAGGACTACTAGTTCATTACAAATAAAATTCCCATTTGATTCAAAAAAAATATGATGAGATGAATAATAGTGAAGTATCTCGAGTTTAACTTAAAAAGAAGAAATATCTGATATAAAACACTTCCCATTAATTATGTAAATTTTCATAAAAAATAGTTCAGATGAACCTCTCGATCCTAACGACTCCGCCCGTTATCAACCATAAAAAACAACTCTTTATGCACTATTTCCCATTGTCTTATCATAGACTAACTTCTTACCTAACTAATTATGTTAATTTGACTAAAATAAATTAATTTAGGGGGATTGGTGAAAAGTATCATCAATTGTGTGGAAAAAATAACCTAAAAACTTAAAGTTAGAGTAAAGTAATCCATAATCTTTTATAATTTTCGATGATGATATACTCTGAATATAAATTGATATATTATTAAAAGTTTATGAACTTTTACGATATATTTTTACATCATAGTACATAATCCTCTAGTAGACAAATCTTATAGTAAAGTATTGTTAGTTATGAATACTCTTTCATACATTCGAATTTAAAAGTTTTAAGTATGATCGCACGGAACTGTTTATATTAGGAAACACTCAATCTCTAACGATGAATTTTTTGAAAGAATGAAAATTTAATTAGTTAGCCCTCAATTTTGAAACAATCGTGTTGTCTATAGTATTTTGCCATGATTTCTTTACTATCTTTTTTCTTTTACGTTTTGCTTTAATATGTTTTTTTCCTGAGTCAAAGGTTTATCGAAGCAACTTATCTACCTACTAAAGTAAGGTAAGGTATGCTTATACTCTACCTTTCTCAAACTCTACCGGTAGAATTACACTACGAGTATGTCGTTATTGTTATTACTTGTTAGATCTTATTATGAATATCAGATGCCGAACGAACATGAAAAAAGGTTTGTTTGTTTTTTTTTTTCCAACAAAACTCTAATTCTTCTCCATTATTTATGGTTTACCTTATTAAATTACTAATTACCAATATAAAATATATTTTTTTTTCAAATAATTTCTACCATTCATTTTTACCAAAAATTCCACAATTTATCAATCTAAAGATTTGATCAAACAAATCCTAGCCGTCCATTTTCCATTCTTCATCTCTATATAAATCACTCAAAAACTCCATTTCATTCCTCTGTGCCACTCTTCTTCCCAAAAAAAACTTCAAAATTCTCTCAATTTCTTCACTTTTTTCACTCTACTCTCTCTACCCATGGCGTTAATCGTCGAGAAAACCACCTCCGGCCGCGAGTACAAGGTCAAGGACATGTCCCAGGCCGATTTTGGCCGCCTCGAAATCGAGCTAGCTGAAGTTGAAATGCCTGGTTTAATGGCTTGTCGTACTGAATTTGGTCCATCACAGCCATTCAAAGGTGCAAAAATCACCGGAAGTCTACATATGACGATCCAAACCGCTGTCTTAATCGAAACCCTCACCGCATTGGGTGCTGAAGTTCGATGGTGTTCCTGCAACATTTTCTCAACTCAAGATCACGCGGCAGCTGCTACAGCGCGTGACAGCGCTGCAGTTTTCGCGTGGAAAGGGGAAACATTGCAGGAGTATTGGTGGTGTACGGAGAGAGCACTTGATTGGGGTCCAGGTGGTGGACCTGATCTGATTGTTGATGATGGTGGTGATGCTACATTGTTGATTCATGAAGGTGTTAAAGCCGAAGAGGAATACGCGAAAACTGGTAAATTTCCAGATCCTAATTCTACTGATAATGTTGAATTTCAGCTTGTGCTTACGATTATTAAGGACGGATTGAAAAGCGATCCATTGAAATATACGAAGATGAAGGAGAGACTTGTTGGTGTTTCTGAAGAAACTACTACTGGTGTTAAGAGATTGTATCAGATGCAGGCTAATGGAACTTTGCTTTTCCCTGCCATTAACGTTAATGACTCTGTCACCAAGAGCAAGGTATCTTTTCGTGCTCCGATTATTGCATTATTTCGTTGTTGTTATCTATGCCGAGGGTCTATTGGTAGCAACCTCTCTATTTGTACGAGGTAGGTGTAAGATCTGCGTTTAGTCTGTGTGGTGGAGCCATATACACCCTTTTATCGGAAATACACATTGTGTAGCTAGGGTAAAAGTATGTATTTTTTTTCTGTATATGTAATACGTATCGACACCCTAGACTTTATGCGGTTTTATATTTTGACGACTCTTAGTTGAAAGTCTGGCTCCGTCACTGAGTCTACCCACCCAGACCTTTTGTTGCTCGAACTCTTCAAAAGTTCCAAAGGGTGTGTGTCGGATTAGCCAAAAGTAGTGGACTTTTGGAGAATCCGACACGAGTGCGACATCAAAAATGAAGAGTCCGAGCAACTAAACGGTCAGACCTCACTTGTGGGATTACACTTAGCATGTTGTTGTTGACTTCTCTTTGTTGAGGTTAAATATTAGATCTATAGTTATCGTTGAATTTGAGTCTTGATAGTTAGTGTATCTTTTAACTCATTTGATATGTGGGAGAAATGAATGTTATATCATTTTCTTGAGGTAAATTTAATATTCCTCTTATTTTATAGCTTAAAGTGAACATTTTTCCAATCATAGTATTCTAATAATCTTGTGTTATAGTTTTGAATAATCACATCAAGTTAATTGACTGATTGTGTTGGTGTGTTCTCAAGTTTGACAACTTGTATGGATGTCGCCACTCACTGCCCGATGGACTCATGAGGGCTACTGATGTTATGATTGCGGGAAAGGTGGCCCTTATTGCCGGTTATGGTGATGTTGGCAAAGGTTGTGCTGCTGCAATGAAGCAAGCAGGTGCGCGTGTGATTGTGACTGAGATTGACCCAATCTGTGCTCTCCAGGCTACTATGGAAGGTCTACAGGTTCTTCCTCTCGAGGATGTTGTTTCCGGAATTGATATCTTTGTTACTACAACTGGTAACAAGGATATCATCATGGTTGACCACATGAGGAAGATGAAGAACAATGCCATTGTCTGCAATATTGGTCACTTTGACAATGAAATCGACATGCTTGGTCTTGAGACCTACCCTGGAGTGAAGAGAATCACAATCAAGCCTCAAACCGACAGATGGGTTTTTCCCGACACTAAGAGTGGCATCCTTGTCTTAGCTGAGGGTCGTCTCATGAACTTGGGATGCGCTACTGGACACCCTAGTTTTGTCATGTCGTGCTCTTTCACTAACCAAGTCATTGCTCAGCTCGAGTTGTGGAAGGAGAAGGCAAGTGGCAAGTATGAGAAGAAGGTGTACGTCTTGCCAAAGCACCTCGATGAGAAGGTTGCTGCCCTTCATCTCGGACAGCTCGGAGTCAAGCTCACTAAGCTCTCTAAGGATCAAGCTGATTACATTAGTGTACCAGTTGAGGGTCCTTACAAGCCTGCTCACTACAGGTACTAAGGAGACAGACAAAGTGAGACTGCAAAAAGATACACAATCTTATAGCATGATGTTTTCTTCTCTTTTTTTTTTTACACTTTGATCCTGTTTTCCTTTGGTTTTGGTTTATGTTTTCTTTGAGGTTATTTAAGTAACATTTCCATTCAAATTTTAGCGCTAGCGTTTGATTATACATTTTGAAAGGTCATCCTCAAATATCTGTTAGGTACTTCAACTATTTTCAAGTGCCCTTTCGGGACTTGCACTCACAAAACTTCAAAAATAAATCCAAATAAAATGCATGTCCAAGTATAACCTCAAATTTTCAAGTTTCAACTTCAAAATTTGCCAAATCGGAGCTAAAATCTTTTACTTTAGTAAGCTAGCTTTCGATGCTAAGCAAGTCGAGCATTATGCTAAGATGTGGATTACAAGTGACGAGAATGGACTTCTTGTAAATGCAATAGAAGAGTCAGAGTCCAGTTCCCCTCCCTTCTCGACGAAGGGTAACAAGATAATGGAACAGAAGGGGGAATTTATTTTATATCCACTTCCTTTCCCCTTGGCTAAAATAAAAGATGAGAAGTATTCTAAATTTTCCTTTTACCTTATCATATACTATTAATAGATACCTTATGATAAAATCTAGATATCATGGATGTGAAAAACATTTTACATTAATAAGGCATACTAGTTTCTTTTTCTACTTTCCACCAACCCAAATAGAGATATGTCAGTATAGATATTAATAATTTCTCTACTAGTAGGCATGCATTTATTCTGCTAATTAATGTAGATGAATATAGTACTACTACTATTATAAATTTTCTAGATAAAGTAAAAAAAATGAAATTATTTCCTCTGTAAATTTAAAATTTACTGCAACGATATCTCGCTCAACTATTTCATCAGATAACTGCTACCTCCCACCAACACATGTACCGGTAACTCTACCTGCCACGGCAACGGCTTAGGGGTGCAAGGAAATCACCTAGTACGTTTTGTCTCCACTGAGTTTCGAGATATAGCAACTAGTTGGTCCACTGGATAAAGAACCATTATTTTGTGAGACATGACAGGAAGACAAAAAAAAAGAAAAAAAAGATGATCTACTTCTGTCTGTTGGTGTTAGTATGGATAGTTTATGCTTCAAATACTTTGTCTCTATTTAGAAGTTGAACTAAACAACTCCAACTAGATGGGAATATAAAGTTAAAGAAATACCAGTATAAGGGTGGCAAGTGGGCCGTGCAAGGACAAGCCCAACCCACCCGGCCACTCCGGGCCAGTATGCCGGGCTCCAGTATGGGGGGTGGGTTGAATCAGAAGAGGACCTTTATCTAACATTTTTTCAGCAAGTGCATTGTATATTTCAACCTTTTCACATTTTTGGTACATCTTCACGCAAATAAAGACGAATTGTTCCAAGAAAAAAGAATGTCTTCTCAGCGCGTGAATGAACTCCTGACATAGCCGAGAAGACTAGATGAGTTGAATTAATCAAGAAACCACCTTTAGAAAACCATCTGTTTTACGCATGATAATGACAACTACTAAGCTTTCTTGATATTGTTTAGCAAAGATAGATAGACACTAGTTCTGTATCATCAATACTGATTGACATAGAAAGCAGAAACAAGTAGATAATTCCGAAAAAATGAAGGATATCAGCTTCCTAATGGTTGAAGGTAAGCTAATGAACTAAATATTGCAGGAAACTATTCAAATCTCAAGTAATTCTTTTAGTGTGATCATAAAGGCTTGTAATTTTTCCAGTAGTGCAAATCTTCTTAGTATTTCTTTGATCAGTCGTGCTGATAATCCGTCTACAGAAATCAGCAAATGTCGCCACCCTCCCCAGCTCCAAAAGATTATACTGAAAGAAGAGAAACCATATATAGAAGAACCATCCTCATTGAAGGATTATTTCTTGTCATTATTCGACTACTACTGATCTTTCCTAAGCACCATGTTAATCTCTTTTCTAGTACTTTCTTCCTTAGTTTTCCTTCACACAGGTGCTTCGCTCCCGTGCTCCCTGCACACCTATCCTTTCTAAAATCCGACTCAAGAAAGTCTTATACGGCATCCACTTCACGTCATTTCCACAAAATACTCCATAGACAAGCACCCCTAACCAATAGAGGATACAAAATAGCCTTACCTTCTTGACTATTAGCATTCCCCAAAATTCTACCCGTTGGCCTCTCAATATACATCTAAAGTCTATTAGAGACAAATCACTTGCCCAAAAATTGACGCATCAGACACATACGGACATGACATTCTCCTAGAAACAATGTTAAACTTCTCTTTACATTATAGCCTAAAAACATTCAAACTGATGTGGAAGTCTGTGACAGAAGTTGAACATCATAATACACATAAAGAATCATCTTTTGTTTCGCAAAAGAGCAGCAGAAAAGATGTAAGACTCTGCTCAACACAAATTTGCACGTAACACACAACAGAAATCATCGGATCGTTAACAAATGGAAGTCACTCTTGTGGATCAAATGAAATCACAAAGAATACTAAACGTGTGAAAGATCAAAACTTGACTTTGCTTAAAATTCCCCTGCTGTTATGATTAACATCCAAATAAATTTGAGACCCTAAATGCCTTTTAGTCATCCTCTATACCAACATTTCACTATAATGGCCAAGTTCTTTCAAGAGCCGATTTTTCATGGTATGAACACATTTCACTATAGCAGCCAAAAAGTTATCCAAATAAACAATGCCAATGCATAGAAACAGATTGGGAGCATATAATATACATAGAACCAAAAAAAAATATTTGGCAACATTGGTTACATTTTTATACTAGTATACACCATTAGCAACAAAAAAACCCACCCCCACAAGTCCCAAACATAACTAAATCAATATTCAAGAGAGCAGAAAATAGAACTTTTTACCAATTCCATTGCATAAAATTTCTCAGCTAAAGATTTCAAGATTTGATGTCACTGACCTCCCTAGCACACCTTGTAATAATCTCACATCCTCTGTTGTAATTATTAGCTGCACCAGGAGCTTTACAATTATAATATGAAGCACCAGGAGTATTACAAGGCACCAAATCCCTCTTCAATGTACCATAACTAATGTACTTTTTTTGCATAAGCAAAACCCTTCTATTACTTTCACTATCCATCATATCTTCTTCATCCACCATTTCTGAGCATTCTTGAAGCTTTTCTGAACAACCCCTTTTCCCCATTAGGTTAAAGTTACTATCTTTAACTGATTTAAGGTCAAGAACTGAAACCCCAGAACAAAATCTCATCTGGGCATGGCTGAAAAGAAGCAAGAAGAAAAGGGTCTTCAATGGATTGAAGTAAAGTTGGGATTTTTGCATTTTGTGAGTTTGAGGTTGAAGTTCTTGTAGCTTTTCCCCTGGTGTTGTCATTTTTTTTGGATTGGGCTGTGAAAGTGAGATTCCAGGGTGTGTGAAAATTTTATAACTAGTGAGGAATCATTAATGGTGTAGGGATCATCCTATTACATACACCTACTTTGCTACTCAATAGTCATGGGAGGATTGTGGGGGTGAGTAGTGAGAGTGACCCACCACCATTCTTGATTTTTCTTTGTTTTAGGTTTTCGTTCGGCCTCTGATATCGATATTAGAATGTGATTAAGATGAAAATTTATTTCATTGTTTAATAAAGACAACAGATTCAAATCTAAAATCTCTTGTTAATGATCAAAACACACACGTAAATTATCACTTTTGATCACGAGTTTCTCATATTAACTCCAATTTGTTCACTTTCGTATCTGATAAAGATCGTTTCATCTTCTTACTTGAATTATTACTAACTATTCATTAAATGCGTATTTACATGGTGATCATTTAAGTAAATTATTGTATATTAACAAATTTTATATGTAAAGCTGAAATGAAAATCTCTAGTTAAGAGTAGAGATAGTGGAAAAACACGTACTTGAAATATCACTTTATCGAGTTTCACACTCGAACTATCGATTGCTCTCTTTATCTATCTGAATTTTCTCCTGTTGTTTCATTTTTCTATCTGAACTATTATCATCTATGTATTAAAATACACATAACTGAATGGATGGTGATAGTTTAATTTAGATAAGAAAAAACAACTTATAGTTAAAATGTGAAACTCATAAAAAAACAATAATTCAAATATATCTTTTGTCGTTAATCTTAAGGATAAAATATTTACGACTCTATCAAAATTTATTGGGTTTGGCCTACATCTAGAAACAAAATTTTGCCACTAGCTTTTGCTTCAAGACAAGATTTTGACTTTTGAAATATGATATCCACAAAGTAAGTTGGATCTAGGCTGGTCACAAAATCTCTGTGTTTATGTCTTGGACTTGGGCTGGTTCCCAATTCTTTATGAAAAAGACATGAAAAGTTGTTTATGTTTAAAGGTTAGTTTAAACTAGTCCTTTAAATATACAATTAAGCTATTTTTAGTTCTTTATATTATCAAAATCGAACACTTTTGGTCATTGTTCTATTTTTAAAAAACCACATGGTAGTACTTATCTTTGATGGAATCGGCTCATCAAAAGCACGTGAACAACATACTCAGTATGATTTTACAAGTGAGATTGGAACCACGTGAGCTATTTACATAGAAGAAAAGTAGTGAAACTAAACATCAACCTATTCATTCCTCAATTGAACATTATCGATCATATACTTCCTTTTAACTCTCTATTATATGAGATATCAAATGAATTAATGTTATACTCCGTTAAAAGTAAAGTTAAGATAGTAGTTTTCTTTAGTTAAAACAACTCGCGTGCTTCTCATGAGCTAATTATGTGACATATATATATATATATATATATATAACTACTATATGGTTGAGTTTTCGTAAATATAGCATATAATAGAAGTATTTAATTTTGACAAATATTGAGGACTAAAACAGTTCAAATTAGTGTATTTTGAAGGACTATTTTAGTCTCAATTGTTATCAATCCATTTTGCATGGTGTGTGTAACTATTGGCACTCAATTAAGTTCATTATTGGAAAATCCATTATATGGTTGGGTGTGATGTTTACTTATGATTATTTTTTCGTGTGGGAAAATTAGAAAAAAATCAAATCACTAATGATTATTCTCTTTCATTTACATCAATGGTCAATAAATTGATTTATACTAATAGGAAACAATCTCTTTAAAAAAAAATTTAATGAAAGTAAAAAAAAATAAATTTCGTGATATTCAAATTTCAATATTTCATCTCCACTCACCTAACGTACCCGATGATATGTTTTTGGTTATTTTTGGATTATCATATTTGTGGTCCAATATTAATTACCTTTTCATTGATAAGATTAGTGGTCCAAATACTTGAATCTTAAGCAAATTGAGATTGCTATTTTGGATTTGATGGTTAAATGTCTAATTAAACTCTATTATTAATTTTATGTAATTATATTGGTTGCAATGAAAAATGAGTATGACCTTCTTTTTCTTCTTTTTTTTCACTAGTTTCCG